ACTATTTGATTGTTGATCAATTCGGATTGTTAGAATTTAAGGGTGGGCGATGAATTCTAAACTCAACAATTTGAGTTATCCTTGAACCATTGTTAATGGATTAAATTGTTCTTGAATTTTCTTCTCTTAAACATCAATTTAAATCTTGAATTAAAGTTTGAATCCTAAATAACAGTTTGAATTGTTAAAACAAATATGGGCTAAGCCTTTGAACAATACACGTGGTTTGTATCTCACAGCTACTATCAAAAAAAGGCCAACCGCATCTGCTTCTAACTCAGTCCCGAGGATGTTTGATAGAGGGATTCATTCCCTGATTCGAATCATGATTCATGATTCGCTACAGTATTTTCTCTCACAAAAAATTCACGTAAATAAAAAATGATTCAAATCACATGGTTTGAATCCTCCAACCAAACGTCCTCAAATCATTTTCAAGACTTCACATCTTTAAAAGTTTTTTTATTTTTTTTATTTTTAAAGTACAAGATGTACCTCCTTGATAAGTCGTTGGTATTTAAATACCATACGATGTTATGTCCCAACAAACACATTCAACCACCCATCACAATATTTATATTGATATAGGTGTGAATCTTAAGGTTTTAATGTTGGTGTTGTAATATATATGAGAAAAATAATATACTTTTGAATTATATTGAAAATTTAAAATGAAAAATAAAAACATATATTTACAAAAAAAAAAAAAAAAAAACATTGAGATATTTGTGAATAACTAGTTTTCTTAGAAACGTTTTCAGTTAAAAGGATAGATGAGGTAAAAACAAAAAACAAAAAATAAATCAAAGTGGTAGAGATTCTAACATTAAATAAATTATGGTACAAATCTTAACTGTGTGGAGTATGTGGCATAGTATATAGAAAGGATAGATGAGGTAAAAAAGAAAAAAAGAAAAAAGAAAAAAAACAAAGTGGGGATAAATAAATTATGGTACAAATCTTAACTATGTGGAGTTTGTGGCATAATACCTAAATTTTCTCTTATTGTTCAAATCTAGTTTTACACGGGGGCTGGGCTCAAGTGTGGGCTAACTAGGCCTAAATGTCGGACAACGGTCCATTGAACTGAAAGAGCAGACGAAGGAAAGAGCAAGTTGGTAATGGCAGAGACCGGAGCGAAGAGGAAGCGAATGAGCAAGAGAGATGGAGAAGCTGTTTTCCCCAATACGACATCAAATTGCCCTGCGATCAAACCAAAACAAAATCTCCACATCACTCGCCTTAAAGACACCGCCTCAAAGACACCGCCTCAAAGACACCGATCTTTTCACAGTATGAATCTCATCCATTATCTCAAAATTTCCATATTTC